TTTGGGGGGGTGGGGGGGTTGCTTTGGATTCTCTGGGTGGCTTTGTAGGACGCCATGTCAGATAGTGGACCCCCTCAGTTCCCATATAATTGTGGGAGGATGAGTGTGATGATGATTAGATTGGACGAAAACCGATTTGATTTTCGTGTATGGGTATCAGAAAATCGGGTACTCGTATATCGATGGGATGAATTCGAGTATGACGATGATGAAAATTCAATATTTGGATTTAGGTTCAGGTGTTTGGACGGCGAGAATCCGTATCCGCTGATATTGGTCGTTTTGACACATTCCTCTGTCGTTGTGATGTCGTGTTGTCTTCTCACATCTCTTCTTGCCTTTTAGGATCGGATTCAGGCCGATCCGAATTTTTCGGATCTATAAAACTAAACCCAAAGCCTGACCTTATAGGACTCGAACCGGACTGGCTTGTCCCATTTGAGTCCTATTTATGCGTCAATTTTTTTTTTCACATTTAAGTCCGTCTAAACGGCTCCAAATAAAATTGAGATTAAGACGAGGTTATTGTTGTTAAGTCCGTCTAAAGATCTAAAAACCTACATTTCGGGTCTACGAATTCAAGTGTGAACCTGATCATTTTCGGACGGATTCAGACAGGATTTCTAGCTAAAATTGACATATCTATCCTCGCTGCTCTTTTTGCACATTGCCTCAGCCCTCTTCAGCTCTTCGGACAAGTCTTTTTTTTTCTCTCTCTTTCCTCGCTTCTTTCTCGCCTTCCGTCTTTGTCCTTTGCTTCACCTCTCTCTTCTCTCCCATTTCTCGATTACCTCACGTTTTATTCATGATCTCAGTTCCAACAAAAAAAAAAATCATCTCCAATCATTCCATGATTTGTAGAAACTGTAAAAAAAAAAAAGGTTCTATCAGGACAAAAAAAAAAAGGTGAAGAAGGTATGACTTTGTTGCTTAGGGAAAGGAAAATAAAACTTTCTTATAGATTGATGGGGACAACGATCTAAAAACCTAATCCTTATACTTCTTACGTTGTTTAGGGAAAGGGAAGAAAAAATGCCTCCTTATAGATTTTATCTAAAGCTGGATGTTTCGTTTTAGTTATTGTAAAAGAACCGAATCCAAATAAAATCTAAAATAGATTCTAAAAATTAAATTTGAAACTAATCAAATTGAAATACAATATGGTGGACCTAGATTTAAATATAATATATAGTTGACTTGGATCATATCTAAGGCATGGAATAAACCATTCCTCAACTAGTCTCCCTCTTCTGTTTAACATTATCTTTTCGCATATTTTTAAATTAAAAAAAGGTTAATTTTGTATATCAGCGCAATGGACTTTCATTCATGTAAATGGAATCAAGACTGTTTTGCTGTAACAATGAGAGACCAATGTAATTATGGCCAATAATATCTGATTAGAGGAATAAACTTTACTAATCTTTCTACATTTTCACCTCTCCATGCTTTTGAAGGATCATACTTTATGTATATGTTGGTATTCACCTTTTTCCCCCCTCTCTCGTGGGGATTAATTTTAATTCGCGTTACTCTAAAAAAATAAATATTCGAATTTTCTGTATATATAGTAAAATTTGTCCGTATTTAAATTATCGACATTGGAAAATAGTTGAAGTATTAGTGAATTAAATGAAATTTAAATCAAAAGTGGTATGAAACATTGGAGATCTTTACCCCTTAATTTTCAGATAAATGAAAACATAAAAGGGTTTTAACTAGTTTTTTTTTTTGTCACAAATACAAAATATTTGATTGCTTTGGAGACAATGCAAATAATGATTTGATATAGAATATAGATTTGAATATCGTAAGTGCATGCGGAACGAATCATTGCGTGTAAACAATGTAAGACCGTATGAATATACATTCGTGCGCTTCTGTATATACACATCCGCGAATAACGTGACCAACAAAAAAAAAACGTATTAATGTCATTTTTTTTTTGTGCTCATAGTTTACGGTAGCGCGTCATTTCACGCGCGCGTAGCCGCATGGGATGAGCGTGTAAAAGTGCGATGGTATGACGAAGAAGATACGTTGGTCGTGCATTGTCCGAAACCCCCGACCATCACACGCCGGAACCCGGCGGTGTATCTCACGCGCTCTTACTTAACGTCTCCATCGTCACGAACTATGTGATACGAGAAAAAGGGGAGAGATAAAATTGTGGGTCCTATTGTCTCTCACTCTCTCTAGATTTCACCGTCTCTGGCGTTTCCATCTCCAGGGTTTCTCGGCTTTTCGGGTTTCCCAGAGAAAATCTCAAAAAGAGAGATTCTCAGTAACCAAACAGCTTTCTTCTTCTTCCTCTTCTTCTTCTGAGCCCTTCTCCTCAGATTCAGCTTGAGTTTTGTCCGTTGCTTCTGCCATCTCTCTTCTCCTTTATTCTCTCTCTCTCTCTCTAAAAAGGTAAAAAAATTCATCTTCTTTCCGATTATCTTTTTTCTGTTGCTTTAATTGGTTAGTAGTATTCCTCGTGACAGCTCTTGTCTCAGCACATCATTTGCTTTTCTCTTCTGAAGTTTTGATAATTTCTCTGAAATTTTATCGCTTAGCTCGATTTATCCAGACCCGTGATGATGTTGCATGTTTTATCAGGCAAATTTGTCTGGATCTTCTAGTGGATTCTACGTTTGTGTTCCTCGTTGACAAGTTTAGGTTTTGTCTTAAGGGATTCGTTCAAAATCGATTTTTTGCAAATGGGTTAGGTTCAAATTCAATGTTTGTAGATGGCTTTGGTTCAAAGTTGAATTTGTTTTTTGGGATATCTGACTATGATTTTGTCAAATGTCATAAAAAAGTTTCCTTTTTTGGGCTTTATTTCGCTTGAAAAAGCCATTTTTTGCCGGCTCTTTGACTTTGATTTGATGTGAAGCCAAATTTGATAACAGAGGAATATAATCCTTATCGACTCAGTTTTTCTTTCCTTGTATCGCAGCTTATGACCAGAATCTGGTTTCGGTAAGCTTTCTTTGTCCGAAGCCGAGAAAAAAGCACATAGATTCTGAAGCTATGACCTGATTTGGCAACGCCCTCCTGGCTTTTGATGGATTCAATGTGTTGAAGAACGGTGGTGCTCTGGTCAATTCTAGGGTTTTCTTCTTTCTCTCTGCTGTGTAGTGATTGAGCTGTAGGCATGGAGAGAGGTGAAGGTGAAAGCTGGAGAGAAATGGTGAGAAAGATGCTTCCTCCGGGAGCTCCTCTACCGGAAAATCCAGCCGAGTTCGATTACTCCATAGCCATTGAATACAGCGGTCCTCCGGTTCAGTACGAGGTTCCTAAGGTTCCGCCGCTCGATGTAATTCCCCGCGAGATTCCGACAGCTGAGAATCTGTCTGAATCACAGAGGTCGGCCATGGATCCGATCCCTTTACCGGTCTCTCGTATAGTCGGAGTCACGAGCTCGCCTGGTCAGAGCCCGAGGGTTTCAGCAAGCTCGGAGTCAGTGGTATCTGTGTTACAGAACCGTGAATCTTCGTCCGGTTCAGCTTCTGCCTCACCCGGGTCTGTTCATAATCCTCCTGCACGAAACGGGAACGAGACTAGGAGACCGCCTGTCGTGAAATTCAAGACGGATGATGACAGAATCGAAGGGACAGAAGACGAGGATGCGGGTCACGAGAGGGAGAGACAGGTCTATCCCGAGCACGTTCCATTCCCGAGAGAGAAGAGATGGAGAAAGAAGAGAGAATGCTACAGATGTGGGAAAGGGAAATGGGAAGGGAAGGAGGCATGTATTGTTTGCGATGCTCGGTACTGCGGGAACTGCGTGCTTAGGGCAATGGGGTCGATGCCCGAGGGACGGAAGTGCGTAACTTGCATCGGTCAACCGATCGACGAATGGAAACGGACTAAATTGGGGAAGCATTCTAGGGTTTTGTCTCGGCTGCTTAGTCCTTTGGAAGTGAAACAGATAATGAAGGCCGAGAAGGAGTGTTCGGCTAACCAGTTACGACCCGAGCAGCTGATTGTGAATGGGTATCCATTGAAGCCAGAAGAGATGGCTGAATTGCTCGGTTGTCCTTTGCCGCCTCAGAAGTTGAAGCCCGGTAGATATTGGTACGACAAGGAATCCGGTCTCTGGGGCAAGGTATATATATGAATATATATATATATATGCGAAGTTTTGTATTTTCCGCCATTGAAGAAGAAAAACCTTTCCTGATTGATCGAAACCGTTGCTGTGACAGGAAGGAGAGAAACCCGACAGAATCATAAGCTCGAATTTGAATTTCACCGGGAAACTGAGTCCGCATGCAAGCAATGGAAACACCGAAGTATACATCAACGGCAGGGAGATCACGAAACTCGAACTCAGGATTCTGAAGGTATAAGTCTTTTCTATTCTCCGAGACCATGAGTTATTTTTCGTGTGTTCTGTCTCGTGCAATGTTCGGTTTTCAGACATGAACGAACAAACTAACATTACCTGTTTTGTATATGTTAGTTAGCGAATGTGCAATGCCCGCGAGATACGCATTTCTGGGTATATGATGATGGGAGGTACGAGGAAGAAGGTCAGAATAATATCCGCGGAAACATTTGGGAGAAGGTACGTTGAATTCGTATCGAGATTCTTGATTTTATCGGCCGTTTTCCATATGAAAATCTCGGGTTTGTTTGGTTTTTTTATTTTTGGCAAGGCAGGCTTCGACAAGATTTGTTTGTGCATTGTTCTCGTTACCCGTCCCTCACGGCCAACCTCGTGGAACGGTACAACCACCGAGCACTTACACTACGATTCCGAACTATCTAGAGCACAAGAAGATTCAGAAGCTTCTACTTCTCGGCAACGAAGGGTCGGGAACTAGTACCATTTTCAAACAGGTTCCTATGATCTTCTTCCCCTCCTTCCCGTTCTTCCTTCTCTACGGATTCGGTTCGGTTATATTTGTGTTTGGTTACTTCGGTTTAAAAACTATAACCATTCGGTTTTTATATTGAAATCGTTTTTTTTATAAAAGTACTCATTTTTTAAAGAAATTTTGGTTTCTATTCGGTTCGGAATCTCTTTTTCGGTGTTAGAAAAATCATATCGTTCAGTTTTTTTTTCTGGTTTGGTTTCAAATACGGTTAACTGTTATTCGGTTTGGTTCGGTTCGGTTATTCAGTTATTAATCGAATTGCAGCCCTTATCGAGGTTGGTAATGCTATTTCTCGGGTTTTGATTTGCGGATTCGATCAAACAGGCAAAGTTTTTGTACGGAAACAAATTCTCGCTGGAAGAGCTGCAGGATATAAAGCTGATGATACAGAGCAATATGTATAGATATCTCAGTATCTTGCTCGATGGTCGGGAACGGTTTGAAGAGGAAGCTTTATCGAAGGCGAAAGCAGCAAATTCCGACGAGGGTGATTCCCAAGGTACCGTCTTTTTCCTTCTTTATTTCGTTACCTTATAACCGAACGAAAAAAGTCCTTGGTTTGAATATCCGAATTCTCGGAATGTTTTTTTGATCAGGTGAGGAAACGCAGTGTATATATACCCTGAACCCGAGGTTGAAACATTTCTCGGATTGGCTTCTCGATATCATTGCCACGGGCGATCTCGATGCTTTTTTTCCCGCGGCAACTCGGGAATATGCTCCGCTGGTCGAAGAAGTTTGGAAGGATCCCGCGATCCAAGCGACTTACCGACGAAAGAATGAGCTTCATTTCCTGCCTGATGTTGCCGAGTACTTCTTGAGTCGGGTATATATATATAATATCCCGAACGAGATTTTTTTGTGGCAGAATCGACTTTTCGGATTCCGTGACTCGGGTTTCTTTTTTCTTTCAGGCTGTGGAGGTATCGAGCAACGAATACGAGCCATCGGAGCGCGATATTCTATACGCAGAAGGTGTTACCCAAGGAAATGGATTAGCTTTCATGGAGTTCTCTCTCAACGACCGGAGTCCGATGTCGGAAACTTACACCGAGAATCCCGACCCTCAATCTCAGCCTCATCCGAAGTACGGGTTTTCCTCCTCGGTTCTATCTAATTCCCCACCCGACCCGGGCTTCCGTAATTAGGGTTTCCCCTCGGTTTTCCGCAGGTATCAGCTGATCAGGGTAAATGCGAAAGGGATGAACGAAGGCTGCAAGTGGGTGGAAATGTTCGAAGACGTACGGGCCGTCATCTTCTGCGTGGCTCTAAGCGACTACGACCAAATCTGCCTCTCCTCCGAAAACGGAAACGGAATCGGAATCCAGAACAAGATGATGCAGAGCAAGGAGCTGTTCGAGACAATGGTGAAGCATCCGTGTTTCAAGGACACGCCCTTCATACTCATCCTGAACAAGTACGATCTGTTCGAGGAGAAGGTGAACCGGGTGCCGTTGCCAACGTGCGAGTGGTTCGGCGAGTTCTGTCCGGTCAGGACAAACAACAACGCCCAGTCTCTCGCCCAGCAGGCTTACTTCTACGTCGCCATGAAATTCAAGCTCCTTTACGCGGCCATGACCGGGCAGAAGCTGTTCGTGTGGCAGTCGCGGGCAAGGGATCGAGTGAACACGGACGAAGCGTTCAAGTACGTGAGGGAGGTTTTGAAATGGGATGAGGAGAAGGAAGAGAATTACTTCGGCGGAGGGGAAGACTCGTTTTACAGTACGGACGTGAGCTCGTCGCCGTACGTTCCGCCGGAGTAATTTCCCCGCACGTGAAAAACCTGCGTTTTTTTTTTCAGATGTTCGGTGAGATTCAGACATGTTCTTAGGTTTGTACCTGTAGTTGTTGCATGAAGACATTGTACCATTTCCTCCAAAATCATGTCGTAATTGGTAAATTCTACGTGCAGTGGAAGAATTTAGGTAGTAATTGAATAACTAAATCAATCGGAATCCAGTAACGTTATTGGATCGATTTGAAATTATACAATATAATGCTTATCTATTTTTTTAATACAAAAAAAGCCGAATTCCAGATCGAACCCAACCCAAATGAAAATTTCAAATGAGCGTTTCTAAATCGAAAATTCAATTTAGAAAACGGATGGTTATAGTTTATCTAAAAAAAAAAAAAAAAACTCCAATGTAATCAAATAAAACAGAAATATTTTATTTTAGAAGGAAATATAACCGGGTGTTGTGTTATGGGTCCAATTCCAATTTGGGTTGGAGGCCCAGAAGAAAGCCCATTATCCAACAAATGATATATATATATATATATATGTATGTATATATGAGAATACAATACAAGTAGAATGAACTTGGTCCCATGAAAGAGAATGTGTTCAAGGGGATGATTGGATTCCTTCATGTTGAAGAAAATAAAGTGAATGAAGAAAGTGGGAAGAAGTGCACTTTCCTTCAAACAAGGCTGATGGTGAAATAACTTAGCAAGAACTCAATGAGGAAAATGCAGCCAAATCAATGGATCCAAAACCAAACCAGCAAATGAAAAAACTGCAGAAAATGAAGATTGATGAACCCTTTTTTCATTATAGAATATTGGATGGAAGATCTACAAAGATCATAGAGCTTGATCATGATTCACAAGGGTTTTGATCTGTTCATGCACACACAATCATAAAAGAGGGGACTTGACAAAAAGGGTCGTGAAATCAGACATCAAGGAGTAGGTAGGGAGCTCGTATTGTAGCGATGAATCTTTTTATAAAACTATTGACCCGGGAAACTGAATCTAGGGGTTCTTAGATACCGGCCGAGTTGCATTCCTCGAGGAGATTCAGCAAGTTGTGCTCGGGGGCACTCAGCGATGGCAAGATCAGGCGGGGAGGCTTTGTTCCAGAACCGCCAGATTCTACTGCTGACCCGTCTTTCACAACTGGCAAATCACCTCGTCTCCTCATTGAGGCCGACACTCTTTCCTTCCAAATTCTCCCGTCCTATGCCACAAAACCCAAAACACAATAAGAAGAGATCATCACTAAGGTCAATCTTCACAGTTCAACACAAACAACTCTTTCAGTGATCACATCACCAGTACACAAAAAAACATTCAATGCTAAAGAAAATGAATTCATCCATATAGATAATGAAAGATAACCCCGCAAGTATCTGTCTTTACAACCAACAGAATTCAATCCAATATAGGAAAGAGAACTTTTAATCGAAACCCAGATGACAAGTTAGTGGAAGGAAGCAAAGATGAGAGTATAAGGAGCTTTTACATTAAGAATCGACGGCTCGGGTAGTGGGCACTGGATCGGTTGATCGTTATCCAGAGGCTCAATAGGGTGTTCGACCGGTTTGAATTCTGTTGCCACTTCGATCCCATGACTGACAGCCGGTATGGTAGTGGATACAGTAGCGGCAGAATCAGAAGCAGGAGGCAACACTTCCCTCTCATCCTGATCAAGTATAACAACGTCAACTCAGTGGCCAAATTAGTCTACACATCAACACACTCATTTGAAAGTGATCGTAGAAGAAACAGAAAAAGATTCGACTTAGAACATGAAAGCAAGCAGTCGCATAAAAATCTCATTTTGGGACTTCAAATCAAGCATTCCATAAGCTAAAGGCAGAATGGAAAGAGGAACAATCACCAAGTTGAGCCCATAAGAAACAGGAGAAAGATTCGACTTATTAGAACATGAAAACAAGAAACCCATAAGTTAAAGGCGAAATTTTTCAGCGATTTGATCCTAAAACATCAGGAATCAACGAAGATCATTGCATGAACAGCTAAAACTTTGCTGCAGAAGCCTAGCGGAAAGAGATCACATGAAGCAAACCACAGCATAGAAACCAAACACAGATCTAACAGGACACAAACTCATGTTCCATACGACCTGAACTTCAAGATCGACAAAATCAACCAAGCTGATTTATAAAAAAAACCCTTAATTTGCTCGCACCCAGAAGCAAATAAAACCCATTCTTGGATTTAGAGAGAGAGAGAGAGAGAGATTACGACGGTGCTCTGTGATCGTCGATGGCCGCTTCGACTGACGGAAAATCTGGAGAAAATACCAACCATCGTATTGAGTTTGAACTCTTCAGGGCTAAGATTACGTTATTTCCGAGCAAAAAAGAGCAACCCCACTTGTTATTGACTTGAATTTTCCCGAGAAACAATCAAAACAAACAGTAGAAAGAGCAAAAGAGCATATATTCTCCAACTCCAAGACACAAAAGCAGAAGAACAGGAAGGAAAAAAGGAAGGGCTTTTCCTTCAGCCACTTCGACTGCCCTCTGCTTTATTATTCCTCCGGATGAATGTAGTGGACGATGATGATGATGATGATGACGACGACAGGGTGAATGCTCGGCTTTAGCTTAAGCTTAAGCTTTGCTTAATCATATCCTCAAATTCGGACTCGTCCTATCTTTTCATCTTCTTTTTTTTTTGTCTGCTTGTACTTATGTTTATTGATTTTAATTTTGGATTACGACTTGTGTATCATTTCTCCATTTGGTGCAAATGAAAAGTTCTCGGAGTGATTGGGTGTGTACTGTTGAAAGATAATTTTAGATTATAAATGAAAAACTTTAGTCATTGTGTTTGGACATAGTTTAGTTTAGTTTATGCTTGAAAGTTTGGTAATCTGTTTCAATTAATACGTTTGATTCATGTGAATGTTATAACCAACTTGCTGACTAAATATTTCGTGTCATTGACTTTGCTGAAGTTCGATTTCGATACAAAAAAGAAAGTAAGCGGATGGCTCCGATTGAGAATTATGCGAATTTTAGGACTTTTTCAAATAATGCTACTAATGTAGAGGTTGTATTGTAATTTAATAAACTTACGGGGTTTAATCACAATAAAACGATTTATATGGGATTTAAGTTATATATTACTAATATATGGGGGTTAGTTTGTAGTTTAACAAACCGATGGGCATGAAGTTCGGGACTCATGTACGTTGTTTCTTGTTTGCTGGTTTGGGAACGGCGAAATGTGTATCGGTGAAAATGCAGGAACCAAAACTGTACGGAGCACATTTCAGAGATATAGCGGTGGACGCTCCAAAGGCCAAGAAAATCGCGTTTGATAACTCCGATGACGAGAATTAGTTCACAAGCGGGTTTACTTTTGTCCCTTCAAGAGTTCATCTTGACTTGTTTTGCTTGGCCGTACAGTTTTGTCGTTGTTAGTGTTTGGTGATTAAAGAACAAAGTAATATTTGCAGATTATGTTTTGATTCCAAGTTAATTACATTACTACTGTCTTATTGGATCATACTTAATGGACCGGGCTAGGCCGGGAGGATCTATTCGTCATCGGCCCATATGGTAAAACTCTCAGGGGTAGTTTCGTAAATACATGTGGTTCGAAATCCCGCGTTTCGCTTGGTAGAGAGAGAATAAAAAAGGAGTCTATCCTAGTTAGCTGCGTAGTCGGTGGTCTACTCTCTCTCTCTCTCTCTCTCTTCGTGTCGTCGGATCTCGGCGATCTTCTCGGAAGAAATCTGTTTTGCGGAATCCAAGATCTGAGACGAGGATGAATCGCCACCACGATCCCAATCCCTTCGACGAAGGAGAAGAAGAAGAAACGGTCAATCCATTTTCGGTATTTTTTTTTAACTCCAATCTTCTTCCTCAATCTCCGCTTTCTATTTTTGGCAGAGCTTACTCGGATTCGTGGCGTGATGTGCTGTGTATTTTGGATTGGTGTTTGATCTATGCGCTTTTTTTGCGTTTCAAACTGTAAAGGAATCTAGATCTGTATCATTCACTCGAGTTTCCGAAAAGTCCAAATGAGTTTGTGGAACTTGATAATATAGCGGGATTCAGGCTGTGTAACTGTCGAGTCGAAAACGGGGTTAATTGCTGTATCAAATACTTTTGTAAAACCGTAGCTGAGTGGGGAAGGCAAATTGATTAGATACGTAAAAGTTGAATTGATGGATCTTCGAATGTTTGGTTCAGATAGTCAGATGAATTATATCTATGGATTAAGGTATTTAATTGTGGGCTTGGATCTGGGAACTACTAATTGAATTCTTGGAACTTAAGAAACTAGTCATGTGTATCATGTTATCAGGTCCATATAGCTTGGGTTTAGTGTATAGTCTGGTCTTTCAATTAGGAGCTGAACGAAATTCGGCTCTTCATTTTTGGGGTACGGATAAGAGAAGACCTGTGTGATACACTGATAATACGACCTAAACCTCTATTAAACTTTGAGTTTTACACCCTTGTCAAATTTATATGGAAGCTTGAGTTAGTTCATGTGAATGAAGTATGGAGTGTTGATTGTTATGATTAAGAAAGTGAATGCAGATACAGCCACGCAGTTACCTCTATATGGTTATTATCTAGTGTTCTAAATGCCTTCAATTGGTTATGATCTACCCACGTGTTAACCATTTTCTTTGACATTGTGCTGATTCCTGTATATCTTGGAAATTTTCAGAAAGGTGCTGGTGCCACTGGAAGGGTTCCTGCTGCATCTAGACCTGTTGGATTTGGCAAAAGCCATGATGCTACAGTTGACATTCCATTGGATACAATGAATGTAATCACATTAGTTTTCCTGTATTCATTCATGATATTACTTTCAACCGAATTTAACTAAAAACTACACATTGAATTGTTGCAGGACTCTTCAAAGAAACAGAGAGAGCTCGCTGATTGGGAAGCAGATCTTAGGAGGAAAGAAATGGTAATTACCAAGGATATGGCTGCTTTTATCAGTTTCTCAATATATTTTTTGGTATTTTTTTAAGTTCTGCAAGTGTTTGTGGTTGGTTCACCCAGGATATTAAACGAAGAGAAGAAGCAATTGCAAAGTGTGAGAAAATGGAACCTTGACCACCTACGTTATTCATTAGTTTGGCTCTCTTCAGGCTAAACCATATGTTTTTCAATGTCATGATCAGTTGCTAACTAACTTTAAGCTTCGAATTGTTTCTCAGCTGGTGTCCAAGTAGATGATAAGAATTGGCCACCATTTTTCCCGATCATACACCATGACATTGCTAATGAGATACCCATACATGCACAAAAGCTGCAGTATCTGGCTTTTGCTAGTTGGTTAGGTAAGCGCGACCACATTCTTTATCAGAATTCCTGGATTATATAACCTTTTTGTCTTCACACTGTCAACTTTTCTCTTCTGTATCTACTGTGTCTAGTTTGTTCCAACTTTTTTTTTCTTTAATCATTGTTTTCATTTTTTGTTTGATGGCTATGTTCTTGAAGTTTTTAATATCATGCTGTATTGCTCTTTTTGATTTGGGACTGGTAGAAGTTGATATGGAATATTAGAATATAATCTGTTGTTAGCTCTCCCTGTCTCTGAGATAGATTTTTATACATTCATTTTCTTTAAGAGTGAAACTAATTATTGCCTCTTATATTATGATATGATCTAGTGGAAATGCGTACTCTTGTAAAATCATTGTAATTTTCCCATAATGATCACATAGTGATGTAGATTTTGGTGGTCAAAACATAGGCAACAATATGGGATGTAGATTCTAGTTCTCTTTATTAATTTCTCTATCATGTCATATGGGATGTGTTTGCAACAGATAGAACAAAATGGCTTATGCTGTTTGAGTTTAAATTTCAGGTATAGTTTTGTGTCTCGTGTTCAACGTCATTGCTGTAATCGTCTGCTGGATTAAAGGCGGAGGTTAGTTGATAGTGTAGTAACTTTCTGAAGTTCTATTTGGATTCATCTTCCATTTTCTTAAGTTTTTAAATGGATTTGGGTGTGCTAATACTGCTTCTTTTTCAGGTGTTAAAATCTTTTTCCTTGCAGCGATCTATGCATTGCTTGGATGTCCAATTTCATATGTACTATGGTACAGGCCTCTCTACAGAGCAATGAGGTAATGCTTTTTTTGTAATCTATTATTGCTGGTTTAGGGGTAAGGTGGTCTAGTATATTCCCTTCCCCAGCACCCCCACTAGATGGGGATACCAACTGGGTTGGTCCTTTTTTTATTATTACTGGTTTAGAAACAACCGTAATACGATCCACCTTCCATTCACTTTATGTATGTCTAATGTGGGCCATTTTTTTTATTTGTAAGATCTCTATGCTGTAAAATTGATTTATGCTCTTCTAGAAAGATCATATGATTGAATATTTTTCTCACGTTGCAGGACTGACAGTGCTTTGAAGTTTGGTTGGTTTTTCCTGTTCTACCTGGTGAGTTCACAAAGAACTCTTATCCTTAGATTTTTATCCTTCCTATGTACAGGTATGTTTTTTTGTTGGGTGTATTATTGAATGAGATTTTTACAGATTCACATTGGCTTCTGCATATTTGCCGCCATTGCTCCTCCAATTGTCTTCCATGGGAAGTCATTAACGTAAGTCTTTGTACAATCCTATCATCCATCCATGCTCTGTCGGGGTGTCTTATGCTTCATGGGTGGTATAGTTACTATTTAGTGAGGGTTATGAGAAAATGTATTCAGTTATGAATTTCTCATCGCCCACACTTATTCAAGTGGTGGACAAAACCTGATCACAACTTCTAAGTCATTAACTGTCAAAATCAATGTTTTCAAGATTCCTCCATTGCCATGCTTTGAAATTCCTTCTTTCAGTATGTTTTGTTGCCTATTCATCAACTTCTAAGTCTTTTAACTCTTGTTGATCAACAACAGAGGTGTGCTCGCAGCAATTGATGTCATCTCAGACAGTTTATTAGCTGGGGTACGTTTCTAATCCGGGCCAGGAAAAAAAATTGTCCGACCTTTTATTCTGCAACATTATTGGTTTTACCAAATAAAATTGTACTGCAGATCTTCTACTTTGTCGGCTTTGGTCTCTTCTGCTTGGAGTCGCTTCTGAGTCTCTGGGTTCTCCAGGTTAGACATCCTCAGCCATCGTCTGATATTTCTGTTACTGAACATTCTTACATTTAAAGCTATTTCGATTCTTCTCATCTTTATAATCTCCTCTGGCTGGCTCCCCCGAAGTCTTGTGCTTCATTAGTAGATGATTTGAACACTTTTAACAAGTATATAAATGGAGACGGCGTTTGTGTTCAGAAGTTTCCCGATTGAGTATGAGAGATGGTTTCCGGGTTAGATTCATTTTCTGAGTGAGTCTAAATAACATCCCCTTCTCTTTCTTCTGGTTTTTTTGCCTATGCAGAAAATTTACCTCTACTTCAGGGGAAACAAGTGAGAGGTGACACCCCCCCCCCCACCAAAAAAAAAAAGAGGGTGGTTTCTCCAAATACTTTTGGAAGGTACCATCCTCCTCAAAGAAGGTTTAGTATTTGTATCATCGTATTGTAATTACCATCTCGTCTTTGCATGTGTGCGTGTAAGTTTGTGTTCTTTGGGTTTTACTAGGACTTATATATATATACACACGGTTTGTTCCCGGGTTTGTTACATTTTAGTTGTAGTGGTATGTTAATCTACCTTGAAGATATATATCTTTGGGTTTTTTTAAAACATTTGTCTGGGATATATGGTTATGTGATGTGATACGGTGGTCTCTCTCTAATGTTAGGAAGCAAGAATGCAGTGTCGACCATTTAAAAAACCCAAGTAGTCAATTTCGTGTATATATGCAAAATATTACCCAAGGGATGGAAGTGACACGCCAATGAGGGTCCACTTCTCTTCCCACCTCAAACTCCTTAACCCATTTCCTCATTCTACCTCAAGCTCAGAAATCAACCGGAGCTTGGGGGATCAGAAGCTTCAATGGCGGTCTACTCTTTATCCCTCCACTCCAAACACGTCCTCTTCTACTGGAGAAGTCCTCTGACCAGCCGGAGACTCCATGACGTCATCACTTTCTCCGTCGGCGACTCTCAGACCGTGGTGATCGGACTCGCCCCGACTCTGGCTGCGGTAAGAGCACCTTCATGCGGCGGGCCGCCTCCAGGGATGTGTTTGCAACAGATAGAACAAAATGGCTTATGCTGTTTGAGTTTAAATTTCAGGTATAGTTTTGTGTCTCGTGTTCAACGTCATTGCTGTAATCGTCTGCTGGATTAAAGGCGGAGGTTAGTTGATAGTGTAGTAACTTTCTGAAGTTCTATTTGGATTCATCTTCCATTTTCTTAAGTTTTTAAATGGATTTGGGTGTGCTAATACTGCTTCTTTTTCAGGTGTTAAAATCTTTTTCCTTGCAGCGATCTATGCATTGCTTGGATGTCCAATTTCATATGTACTATGGTACAGGCCTCTCTACAGAGCAATGAGGTAATGCTTTTTTTGTAATCTATTATTGCTGGTTTAGGGGTAAGGTGGTCTAGTATATTCCCTTCCCCAGCACCCCCACTAGATGGGGAACCACAGTCATCTGTCTCGACGATTACCACTCCCTCGGCCGTACCGGTCGATCCGTCACTCAAGAGTTTGAGTTTTTTCTGTCTGAATTCGGCAACTTTTTTGGATGTCTTAACGATTGAAAGAAAGCCATAAGAATGCCCTGAGTACAGCTTCAGATTCGAACTTCAGAATCCGATGACTTTTCATTCTGAAGCCATTCTTGTGTTCGAACTTCGGTCGGAGTCAGACCCTGAATGTTCGAGTTTGAGTTGGAGTCGGAACCCAATTAAGAATTTCGGTGTTTAGATCGTTTTCAGAATCAGATGCGCGTAGAGATTTCGAGATCTTTCTATTTTTTATTGCTACTGGTCTTCGATCCGAATCTGAAACCGTTTGTTAAACGGATCCTTTTCACCGTGCATGGAGATGGTGTTGTTTTTTTTACAACATAATATAATTACAATGGAGAAGAATATGTTGGAACCATCTCTGTTATGATTGTTTTCTTTTTTGGGTCCTTAGAATTTTTCACTGTGCATGTTAATTAAATGATCATCAAAGAAGGTAGTCAAATATATTTGTGGAAAAAAAATAGGTAATTGTCAGAAGTGGGATTTGAACCCACGCCCTCTCACGAGGACCAGAACTTGAGTCTGGCGCCTTAGACCACTCGGCCATCCTGACTTGTGTGTTTTATTTGTTCCAATTCAAATTTCATTCATTAAATGTAAATCTCCATCTTAAACAACACAACAAAAAAGAAAAAGAAATCATAATTCCTCGAGTGTCATCCCCATCAGAAGTTTTATTCAATTGGAGTAAAATTATACATTGGTCAACCAAACAAAACAACACATCACCAGAATAAGAATTTATTTTTTTTAAAAAAAAAACAGAGAAGGTAATATATATATATATATTAGAGGAAGATTCTCAGGTAGTGATCCATGCGAGTGTACTTCACTTGAGGGTAGAGTTTAGAAGCTTCTTCGTCTTCTCCCACCTCGTAATCCGTCAGACATCCTTCGTAATATATGTGATAGAAATGCCCTATCCCTGCTTGCTCTGCTTTCTCCATATCTACACATCCAAAATTTTAATTAAATAAAAAAAAATTCTTATTAATGAAACAAAAACAAAAACAAAATGGGTATTTTATATATATACTTACGTACATTTCATGTTGGAAAGAAAGTCCTGAGCATGGACATGAGTCTTGTGTAGTTCCTTTCCGCTCAGCTTCTCCCATATTCCGACCAGTTCCATGTGCGTTAGAACGTTGTCCGGAGGCCTTACGTACACCGTCTTGTTCACCGTTCGTGGATCGTTCACCGTTTTCGCTATGTATCTCGCCATGTCATCCTCGTCCACGAACACCACTTCAATGAAAATCGTGATGAAAAAAAATGATTAATATATATATATATATATACAGTAGATCCAGAAAAAAAAATATAATCGAAGGCAAACTTAATTTTACCATGGGGCCAATTTAATTTTACTACGGAGGTATTTAACAATTTTATTTAAAATTTTATAAACTTTATAAAGAAATTAAAATTTTTATAACCCCATTCATTTCAAAGTGGATTCTATATGTATAGTTAAAGTTAGGGTTTCAATGAAGTCGTGGTCAAAAGGGTTATAACGTTGTTTATAAAATTTGAAAGATAAGGTGTCACACATAAGAAAGAAAAAAAGATAATAATATTAGGGTTTATATTTCTACCTTTCACATTCCCATCTCCATAGATATTGACTGTTTCCTTCGGAGGGATTAAGGTTTCCATCTGGGAGAGATTTCCGGCGAAATATGCGGCGAAGCAAGCACCGAGAACGTAAGTGTGAGGGATTCCGGCAGCCTCTATGGCCTTTCTCACCTCCATTTTCTCGTCGAATGTCTCTCTTCCCGGCGGCAGGGCTTTCCCCATCCGCGATGGATCCATTCCATATTCCGACGGTAAAAATCTCTGTAAATATATTTTTATCGATTTTTTTATTAGGCATATATGCTATTCAAGTTGTATATAATTTGAAACATTTTGATAAAAATACATAAAGTAAAATGAAGGTACATGTATATTTTAAAAAACAAATAAGTTTGTTGCTAGTGCTAAAATGTAACATGAGCAATCAATCATATATCTTAAAGTTCATCAATCAATTGCATATAGGTTCGGAGACAAATCAGAAAATGGCAACTGCATCAATCATATATCTTAGATTCTAAGATATATGTATATATATGTTATACTTATATACATATATGTTTTATATATAAATATATATATATATATATGTGTTGTGTGTATATATGTACCTTGACGTTACCGGCCTCTTTGATTGCGTCGATGAGCTTTAACTGCAAGAGAATGTTGTGAGAACGGAAGTGGACGCCGGACATGGCGGATATGACGACGTCGGCGAGTTTCACGGCGGAGACAAGACTCCGGTGGTCGGAGAACGAACCCTCCACGAGTTTGGCGCCGAGTTTCTTGAAAGACATAAGCATTTGCACTTTCTCTATGTCGAGTCCAATCTCTGGACGCTGCAAAACGTAAGTCTCGTGCCCTTCAGCCAAACACGCCCTTACGATCCTCTTCCCTATATACCCTGTCCCTCCCACCACCAAAACGCGCGTTTTCCCGCCGCTAACGCAAACGCCATTTCTCTCCTCCCCAACGTCTCCCATCTCTCTCTAGCTCTCTCTCTCTCTCTATATGTGTGTGTGTTTGGCTTTTCCCCTTTGATCGGTGAGGCGAGGTGAGTCCTGGAACAGGTCTATTTATACCACCCTGACGTGTGTATGTGTATATTTTATGTATATATTCACATATACGGGTTGGTATAGGAATGTGTACATAGACGTAATAATATACATATATAGAACCACCGGGTGAGTATATAAAACATTAATATACTGTGGATATATACGACAGTGGGATGAGTGTGTGTGTGTATATATAGTTGATTATTGTTTCGTTTTTTGTCATCATGTATATATATATATATATAAACTCTTCGAGAAAAAGAAATGCGACCTTATTATTCCATACCCACCGAAGGAATTTCAACACAAAAAAGGTAAAGTGGATTAATGTTATCATTTTATGGTAACCATGCACGATAAAGAAACGAATAAAACAAATAGGAATAGTTAAAAAAAATAAAGAAAAAAATAAAATAAAATAAGAAAATGGGAATAAGTAGAGAGATACGTGGGGTTGGTGGAACAAAGTGATTGGTTGTATTAGGTAGGTGTCCGAGAGTTGTGGTTTAAGAATTGTCTTCTCTAAAAAAAAACCAATTATTTTTTGTCACCGAAACGCTTTATTGGATCCACCAAATCTTGGTATACGTATATGGTTTTGTTCAATTGACACCTATATATTTTTTCAAGTTATTATAATATCCAACATATAAACTTGTATATATATATATATACACACACACAATTAAATGAAAACTTTGTGCAAACACACATTTAAGTCTGAAAATGAAATGTATTAATCAACAAATAATGACGTAATAAATGATATTTATGATGTATTTAACTTTGATCAAGATTGCAAGACTTGGGAGAGATTTTCCCAAGACTTGGTCCGTCAATTACGTCATCCGTCGAGAATTCAAACGGATGGTCTCCAAAGTCAGCGTCATGTGTAAACCCAATTTTCAATCCGAAGACTTCTTTTTTTAGCTTATAATTATATAATACGATAGACTTAAATTCCAACAAAAAATTGGAAAAACTGGACAAAAATATTAAAAAACTGTATTTTCAAAAATTGGGAAAATGGACTTTTTTTCGAGCTTATAATTATATAATATGACAGTTTATAATGTTATATCTTATATAAGGAAAATAAAATACCATAATTAATATTAATATTAAAAAACAGGATAATTAAAAAAAAGTATTCTTCTTCCATTTGGATAAATAAAATCTTAGGTTTCTGAAAAAAGGGATTTCTATAGTCCGAGACGAAAATTCTCATTGTCCCTATGAAGGAATTGCGTCAAGAAACATCAATCCAATGATATATATATATATATATATATATATATATATAAAAGAGAAAATCTTAAAAAAGTTATTTAAACTTTTCAATTTTTATAAAATAAAACCTATAATTTGTTTTTTATCAAATAAAAATCTAACTTCATTTTTTAGTCAAAATTAAATCCGAATTTTATAATTTTTATCATTTTAAAACATAAATGATGATGTGACGTACCATGTTTTGATCATATTTGAAACGTTATTATTCATATCTCACGATATCGAAATGTTACGTCATCAATTGGTTTAAAAATGATAAAGATTTTAACGTTTAAATTTATTTTTGATTAAAAAATAAAGTTAGAGTTTTATTTGATAATAGATAAAATTTATGTTTTGTTTTGTGAAAATTAAAAAGTTTGAGTTTTTCATTTTTATCCGAAATATAAAGAAGAAAATAAAGTGGGCCTAGATTTTATACAAATGGGCCTGTGAAAAAAATTGACATGACGCGTACGTGGCATGTTTTCCGAAGCAGGCTTATGGCCGTTGGATGGATGCTTACTGGAAACAGAAACAAAATTACTTTATTTTTCTTTTAATTAATCAAACAAAGGGAAAATAATCATTTGTTTAAAGAGGGAAAGTCTGAGGTGGACACACCGGAAAATTCGCCGGAGATATCGGATTTGCCGGCGTTCGCCACGGCGGCGGACTCAAAATTAGCAAACGTTACCTTTTATGCGTTGTTGTTCCTTCCTTTCTTTTTTCCTCTCCATTTCGTCCTTCTCCTGGAGAGTCTGATTCTCATTTCAGAGCGAAACCCTAGAAATTTTCTGGGTTTCACCTGATCAGATGGAGTCCCGAGACTCTTTTGATCCGGAGGACCAACGGATAGTCCACGTAAGAGAAGCTCTGATGTCTCCCGGAGGTGGCGGCGTTCCGACTCTCCGGACGGCGAGGTTCCTGAACTACACCATCACCGCCATTGACGACGACGTGTTCGAGCTCCCGCTTGAGGCGTTCGCCTCCCGTCCGGAGACTTTCGAGCCGGATAAATGGCCGGTGAGGTTTTCGTTCTCCGGCTGGGCATCGCCGTCGGTGAACTGGATAGAGTGGGTGAACGCGATGGCGGAGTTGCATGCGCAGACGTGGAGGAAGTCCGGAGGACACGACGCGCTCATGGCGTCGAGGTACCACATAAAGAGGCAGGACGATCTGATGATGGCGTTGGTGGAGAAATGGTGCGTCGAGACGAACTCGTTCGTGTTCCCGTGGGGCGAAGCGACTGTGACATTGGAGGATATGATCGTTCTGGGCGGATTCTCGGCGATTGGGAACAACGTCTTGGGCTCGATCAAACGCGAAGAGATGAAATCGGCGGAGGAGAGGCTGAAGATGGCAAAACGCGAGATTTCTGCAAATTCAGGGAAAAAAGTCAGTGTTAGTTTGTGGATGAAGGAAACGATGAATTCACGAAGCGAGATTGAGCACGAAGCCTTCATGGTCACATGGCTGTCTCGTTTCGTCTTCCCATTTTCATCCGATCTCGTGAGGGACAAGCTCTTCCCAGCCGCGGTTCAGTTGGCTCGAGGTGTCCGGCTCGCACTGGCCCCTACCATCCTTGCCGGGATTTACCGAGATCTAGGCATTCTGAAGGAGAAGCTTGCTGGTTCCATACCGTTCAAGAACGTCGAAGAAGAGACGGAGGTTGTGGTCATGTCTCCGTTCCAGTTTGTGCAGGTCTGGGCATGGGAGAGGATCATGGCGGTGAGGCCGAGCCAGCCTAACAAACTGAAGCACAGTGAACCAAGGATGGCTCAATGGCACCACCTCGGCGGTCAGGAATCAAACCCAAAGCCAGCAAATCTCAGGTCAGTTCTGGATATGGCTGGGGCGAGTTTCGAGTACCGGCCCTACGCCAAGCCATTGAAGAACTTCAGATTCCCGAAGTTTTACGTGGAAAGCGACTGTAACGTCTCCGTGGAATCAGATGAAGAGATAGTAGCCTTTGGTCGGTGTTTGAGGTTCTCTAAGCTCGTGGGTTTGGATTGTGTCGAACCCTATTACCCTCACCGAGTGGCGATGCAATTCGGGTATGATATGGATATTCCCGGTGTAGTTCCTGCCCGAGTTGAGACGCCGGAAGTGGCATGGAAGGAGTATATCCGCCCGATTTCTGATGGAATGATGTATATTCCTTCTCGATTCCACGAGGCTGATGTTACCTTCGGGTACATCCGATGGTGGAAGCAATCTGTTTCGGCTTTACAGTCTGCAGCTAAGAGAAGTAGTAGTTTCCAGAAGCCTCTGCTCTCGCCTGGGAAAGAGAAACCTGGAGCTACAATGGCGGCCACAACAACAACAGAGAGTCCACCAATTGGGAAGTCAAAAACTATGGGAGCAAAAGCTGAGGTCAAGGATCAAGAGGTGGTGAAGAGGGTGATGACTGAGACAAAGGAAAGGACTTTTGCCCCGAGTTCGAGAATACCCGAGAAGAGAAAGAAGGCTAAGAGTGAAAGCATCAGCCGTGTGGAAAGTCTTACGGGTTCAGAGCAAGGGGGAATGCAGCAACCAAAGGGGAAAGAAACCGGTTTCCGGAAGAAGACTGAATTGGCCAAGAAGTCACCAACCGGATTGACCAAGAGCCCGGGAAGATCACTGAGCGATGTTCCAGATCTTAGAGGAGCTCTTAGGGGACCGAGAGAAACAAAGGGTCATGGTCATGGTCATGGTCATGGCCATGTCACATTTGATCTTCCAGGTTCACCTCGAAATTTACCTAAGGCGCAGTCACTTTCCCCAAAGCCAAGCTCCAAAGGTCAGTGATGATGCTGTGAGAATGTTCAATGTCTGCTCTGTTTTCTCTCCTAATTTTTTGGGTTTAACGTCTTTGTTTGGACAGATCCTCCTGTCAGAACAATCAAACCATTACCCCGGGTGGCAGAAAGGACGAAACAATCCATCTTCCATCGTCCAGACCCTAAGCAAACATTATCCGCTCCACCTAGGAAGAATGAAACGGTCCGTATCCCCCGAGAAACCGCTACAACAAGACCGCGAGCTACAAAGAAACAAAACGATTCATCATCCTCTTCGAGTTCACTACCTTTGAGAAGAAAGAAGTACACAAGATCTCTTGCTAACATCCCGCATGGCAGTTCATCATCTGAAAACAACCATTCCACTGTCAAGCAAAAGGCTCATCAAATCAAAGCAGCGGAAGAAACATCATCAAAAGAAACTCAATCCGAGGCCAATGCACTGAAGTTTTTGGATGAGATGGTGACATTGAAGGAGCACATCGGGGAAGAAGGTGAAGTGACTTACCAGATACCAAAGGCGCAGTTCGAGGTTTTCAGCCAAGGTGTCCAAGAAGTTCTCCTGGAGTTACAAACGATAAAATCTGCACTAAACATATAAAATGTTCACTAGGGTTTCCAACCTAATGGATGCTTGTACAGACCCGTCTTCTTCGAAAATATTTCTTTCCCTTCCTGATGGCAGAATCTTTGATCAATTTAGAACTAGAAAGCAGAAACATGCCCATGAAACCAAACATTTTCCAGTTACGTTCTGTTCCTAGTCTAAAAACCAATGCTATAAACTTACAACATTACATGAAATGTACTCCTCTCTTTTTCTCATGTTGTATCAGTGATCAAATCAGGAGGAAGAGAAGCAGGATCAATCACCCAACACTCTTTCACACCATCCGGGGACTGAGCTTCCGGAATCTTCCTG